CACCGAGATGTTGAGGAGGACCAACGCAGATATTTTACCTCTGTCAGCCTCCCTCAACAAGTCATCATACAGGGCGACCAATGCCATCTCTGTACCGTGGCGCGGCCTGAAGCCCGACTGAAATGGATCCAGGGCATCCGTTTCATCCAGATGTGCTTGCAGCTGATCAGCCACCACCCTCTCAACCACTTTGTTCATGAAAGAAACGTTGGCGACGGGCCTATAATTGCCAATTTCGTCCGCCGCCAAACTAGGTTTCTTTCTTATGGGCCTAATGAGTGTCTCCTTGAGGGCAGAGGGAAACCTGCCCTCAAGGAAAGACCCATTTATTATAGCGGTGGCCCATTCAGTTGTTATCGGCCTGGCTGCTTTGATTAGCCAGGCCGGGCAAGGGTCCAAGGAGGAGGTGGTGGCTCGACAGCGATCAAGCACCCTGGCAATAGAATCGGGTGTGACAGGCTGAAAGGAGTCAAAAATTACTGGGCAAGACGGAGCGCTGGACATCTCTGCTCGACTCACTGTGTTCAAAAAAGCAGAGAGATCCCGGCGGATGGCCTCCACTTTAGATTTAAAAAAGGCTGCAAACTGGTCAGGTGAAAAACTAGGGGGAGGCCTGTCACCCAGACCAGTTCTGGATAGGTCGCACACTATGCGGAATAACTCCGCCTGCTGGTTAGACGCTTCGCTTATCCGGTTAGCGAAGTAAGTTCGACAAGCAGCCCTTACCCTAGATAGGTAAAGGTTAGTTGCGACCCTGACAGCTATCCAGTTATAATCCGTCGGGCTCTTCCTCCACCTATGCTCTAGCCTTCTCCTATGTCGCTTCAGCTCTCGAAGCTCCCGGTTGAACCAGGGAACTGGGCGAGCTCAACGACGGAGAGGGCGTTTAGGCGCGATTGTGTTTATAGCCCTGGTTGCAAAGGTGGACCAGTTATCAACCAGAGCATCGACAGGAGCACCAGCCAGGTCAGCCATAACCCCTTTCATGACATCCTGGAATCCAACAGGATCCAGTAGCCTTCGAGGGCGGACCATGGAAATAGGTCCTTGCTCCCCGCGAGGGGGGAGAGCCACTGTGAGGTTACATTTTATCAGGTGGTGATCTGACCATGACAAGGGGACTGACACAAGGTCAGTCACCATCAGACCACACTCGTTCCAACTGGTAGAAAAAACCAGGTCCAGTGTGTGGCCACCCACGTGGGTGGGGCCGTTGACATGTTGAGACATGTTCAAGGAAGCCATGGTTTCCAAACAATAAACACAGCAGCTTCTCTCTCAGAACCTGGAAATAATATGTTAAAATTAACACATTTTTGTTATTTTACTGCTTTTCCCATCAAACAGAGGAAAAGCTATGATTTTAAAATAATGGTTGAAAAGCCGCATTACCACATTTTCTATGTGTTAAAATCGTGATTTAGGCTTTCTCTCTGTGTTCACATTCCTGTTCTCTAGAAAGAAGGCACCGATATATCTCCCAATAAGGACTAACTCTATACAAGCAACTCTTAATCCTGGCACATTGAACATTTCTGGGCTAGAACTTCCAAATGCTCTAGCTGAATTTTGAAGGCTATTGCCCAAGACTATTGGGGGTCTCTTATCTGGGAACCACTCACTTACATCGGTCCAAAGGTTCATCACATCCAAATGCACTTGTTAAGCATAACTCTGTAGAAATTTTGTCTCAAACTACAATCTTAACAAAAGCTAGTTATCTGCCTCCAACCCTACTCTCCTGTATGTTAACAATTACCACTTTGTTCCTTCCACTAACTAAAAACGATTGGTTTCTTATTTTCCATGGTTGATGTAGTTTGAAAAATGCTCTTCCAGGCTGCATTTGTAACAAAACCATCAAGTGGAAGGAAAAGTTGAGATGATTTGATTGCTCAACTTTCTGTGAAAGTGAGGGATATGATAGGAATTGTAACCTGTGTAGCTTGCAGAAGAGTAAGGCCTGGAGAATAATAATAACATTATAATACTATGTTTTCTAGCAAAGCATCTATAATGTTGTGTTAAACAAGTAGGTTGGAAATGGTCAGAGAAATTATTGATTCTATATACAGATAGTGAGGTTGGCGTTAAACAAGTAGGTTGAAAATGGTCAGAGAAATTGATTCTATATACAGATAGTGAGGTTGGATGTGCATGAGTATCTCTTTGTGAATGGTGAGATGAGATTTTGTGTTACAAAACATATCCTATCCCACTATTATAGTTTTCCACAGATGTTGGAATCACCATGCATGGTAGATTAACATAATTCCAAAGTGACAAAAAGAGCATGGTGAAAAAAGCCAATAGCCAACACAGTACTAGCGAAAAAAGCCCATAGGGGCCATCGCTGAGCGAACGCTCCAGCGATGGCCCGGGACCCATCGTTGTGCGGTCAACTACCAGGTTGCTCCAGGAATTCCGTGCGCCCCCAGAAAATTCCAGCCCACAGAACCGCATCTGTCATGGTACTTTCTGGAAGTTGTAATCTCACTGCCCTTTACGGGGTTAATAA